TTCTTCTTCTTCTTCTTCTTCTTTCTCCAAGCAGAAAAAAAGCCTTTCTGTCATTGGTCAGGTTTCCCGCTCATTTTTTTTACTGTATTTGGATTTACAGTAAATGAAAAATACTGTATTTTAATGGCGCCAAGAGGATATTTCCCATAATGCAATTTTAAAATACAGTAACATACTGTGTAACTGTTTTACAGTAAAATATAGTTCATATTACTGTTAAATACTGTGTAATTTACAGAAATCGCTAACAGTGATTTACAACATTTTCTTCAGTCGTCTTTAGAGTTTCCACTGCCATTTTATAGGAATCAACTGTCCGACTGGGAAAGTCTACACTTGCATTCTGAAGTTCACTGCGTTCTACCAAGCAATACCTACAGCAATACTTGGCAGTGCTGAAGTTCTGTGAGTAACCACCGATGCAGTGAGAGCCCAAATTATCACCGATAATGGCCACAATTGTTGCACGTACTATGTCACCTGAAGATTCCATGCTCTTCAAGTTCTTTGACATCTGCCAACAACTTAGAAAAAATCTTGGTTTGACCAAAATAATTAAAATCTCTCTCATAACACAAAAGTAATAATTGAATGTTGTCAATGCATGACCTGTAAAATGGCTCAAAGTTGCCAAGTGTAAAATACACTCCAAGCATTTTGTGGGTCTTTTTAGCTGACCCAAGGGGGTTCACAATCTCAAAGGCATCCTGGTACAAGACAAGTTGGATTCTCAACTCAGGCTCCCTAAACAAGTCATTGCACTTGAACACAGATCCATCACAGATGTCACAGAACACATCAAAAGAGTGTACATGTGGAGGCTTGGCACACTGCTCCCAAACTACTTGGTCTTTCAACATGGTTTTTAAAGTGTTCTTCAATGGAATATATTGTGCATGACGTAGTTTTCTGTTCTCATCATGGCCAAGATACATAGTCTGTGGATGCACTTAGGGAAAGTTTTTTTGGTAATACTGCCTTCTTTGGTATTCTGTGGAAAGTAACGCATTACAAGCTGAATGCAAATCATGGCCCTGCAAAGCCTGCACAACAGAATCAATATCACACTGTGAAAGGGTTGTTTTTGACCCAAGTATGTCTGCGAACGTTTTCTTTGTGTACTGATGACAGATATCATTTAAACTACTGAATTCCTCTACAATCATCTGAATGGTTGACGATGGCACCAGGTATTTGGCTTGCAGCTGCATATAAAACAGGCAAAGATTTTTCATGTACAATGACTGTGTGTTAGATTTAGTCAGCGAATCTGGGAATGCATTTTCAATTTTCATCACCTCAGTTACATCAAAACATGCTGAGGAAGGTTGTTCAGAGAAAGAGATTTTTAATTTCAAATTTCACAAAGTCCTGTGCTTTCGTGAAACATGGGCAGTAAAGCTTGATCTCAAACTGAATATTTTGTCACATTTTTCAAAAGGACAGCATACCACCTCTCCCTTTGCTAAATGTGACCTGAGATGAGAAAGGACTTTGTTTATGTCTGGGCATTTCTGCTGACAGTTTGAACTGTTGCAAACAAATGTGCCCGTTGAATCATCCAAATGAGTTTGTTGTCTTTTGTGATGGCGATAAACATGAGCTTTGAGAGCATTGAGAGCATTGAACTTAAGTTTGCAGTCTGGGAAACAACATGGATATTGAGCATTTGCTTCATGTCTGTGATGTCTGTGTTGACTAACGTAACCCTTAACTGTCTTAAGAGAGCAATCACAAAATTTGCACAAATACATATATAGTTAAAG